CTAGTTACAGTTAAACTAGAGTTATTCATTACATGAGATTATTTTTAAAATTTTTGTATTGTGAAGAGGAACATGTCAAAATAGTTCTTTTCTCAGAAATACTGGAAGCATCTCTAAGCAAGTTTCCAGTGCAGTGTGTATAATAAATCACCTGTCTCTGTTTCAGAATTGTCAGCAACAGAATGGAAACTGTAGTACTTACCAAAGGACCAAGTACTGAAGTAAAAATAATCTGCTTTTTAAAGGTTACATGGCTTGCATAAATCAAAGTTGTTTTCTGGAAGAAATTGGTTGTTATCTTTACTGAATGAGCAACAACGACTATTGACCTTTGATAAGTGAGACCTATAGTGGCATTGGGTCTTTCTCCTCGGTTCCTCTAGTGCAAGGGTCCTCAAACTTTTAAAACAGAGGGCCAGTTCAGCGTCCCTCAGATCGTTGGAGGGGCGGACTATAGTTTAAAAAACCATTTGCATTAGCACTGAGCGCTATTTGCGTTATCATTGTGATGCAATCCCCCTAGAAACCATCCCCAACCAACTAACCAACTTCAAAAAAAAAAAAAAGGCTCTCCTAACTTCAAAAAAAAAGACTCTCCTTACTTCAGAAAAAAAAGGCTCTCCTAACTTCAGAAAAAAAGGCTCCCCCTATCTGCAAAAAATAAAAATAAAAAAAAAGACCTAACTTCAGGAAAAAAAGGCCCCCCTTAACCGCAAAAAAAAAAAAAAAAGGCCCTACTAACTGCAAAATTAAAAAAAAAAATAGACCTCCTAACTTAAAAAAAAAATATTCTAACTTGTTCGGTCCTCAGGCAGCAGCAGGCTCTGCACAGGCAAGCTCCAGACTCATCCGATCACACCCGAGACTGAGAGGAGTCGAGAGATGGAGAGAAGGAGGGGAGTCGGAGAGTGCGACACACATACCACACATGCGCACTGTGGCCCGGACAAGTCGGCTGCTAGGCAGGACAGGCAGCAGCAGTAAGAACACCTGGTGGGCCGGATAAATGTCCTCGGCGGGCCGCATGTGGCCTGCTGGCCGTAGTTTGATGACCCCTGCTCTAGTGTTTGTGGAGTGGCGGCAGGGCATACGGAAGGATGGTGGAGAGCTTGGTAGGGGGACAGGAAAACAGATGATGCTGGAAAATCCTGGTCTTGCCCTCACAGATATTAATACCTGTGCAACTCCAGTAGAGGAGGCTAAATTTCTCCTTTTATATTTTTATTGCGCCTGTCCGCTTCTATACTCTCTCTTACACTCAGTCTGTGTTATGTTTTGATCTTGCGGTGGTGATGAGAAATAGTCACTCCTTGTTCAGTAAAGAATGATGCAGTGTCTTTGCCTATCACATGTCTCAGAGTCCTGCCACATGAAGCATTCAAGTCCTTGACTTTCAGGTTGCACATACATTAATGTAAGCTGTAACAAAAAGATTAAACAAGAAAAAGAAAAGAAATTGAGTGGCCAAGGTGAGAGGATCACTTGAGGCCAGGAGTTTGAGACCAGCCTGGGCAACTTAGTGAGACCTTGTCTCTACAAAAAATAATTTAAAAAAAATTAGCTAGACATGGTGGTGCTTGCTTTGTACTCTTAGCTACTTGGGAGGCCAAGGCAGGAGAAATGCTTGAGCCCAGGAAGTAGAGGATGCAGTGAGCCAAGATCACATCACTGCACTCCAGCCTGGGCAAGAGAATGAGATTCTTTCTTAGGAAGGAAAGGAGGAAAGGAAAAGAGTGGGAGGAGAGAGGAGGGAAGAGGAGGGGACAGGAAGGGAAGAGAAGAGATGGGGAGGAGATGGGAGGAAATTATATAGATATAGAAAGTTCACTGTCTATGCAGAGGGAGGGGAGGGGAGGGGACAGGAAGGGAAGAGAAGAGATGGGGAGGAAATGGGAGAAAATTATATAGATACAGAAAGTTCACTGTCTATGCAGAGGAGGGTGAAAACCGCATGTCCAAGAAAACCCCAACCTAGGCATACCTTTTATCCTCACCAAAGGTGAGGTGTGGTTGGGCAAGTACGTGCACCAGCGACTTGTGCTATACTGAATGTGAATTTGCTTACATCTTTTAATCCCCTGGATCTCAATGTCTAAATATGTAAGAAGTCAAGACAAATACTATTTGGGGGGCATAGGGAAATTTCTTTCTGTCTCCTCTGCGTGAACACAACTTGGTTCTCCTATCCTTGTTTGCTATTCTGATTTCTGTCCCTCTGAGGAATGAGCTGGATGCTCTGTGGATGGAATGGCTATAGATGATGACATGACACCGGTCTTCAGCCATGCACCGGAGCTATATAAGTGGGGCTCCTCACAAGACCCTGCCTCCAGACTTCAGTTCACACCTAGCCCTAGACTTCTCCTCGGATAGGGGCTATTCTGGATCGTTTCAGAGTGTGCTTGCTTGCCATGAGAGAAACCAGTATTATTACTCATCAGCTCTGATTTCTTGTCCACCCCTACCTCAACCCCATTATTATCTATCTAGTGCTGCTCTAAAGGATTTTCATTTGTTTTCTGAATTGGACTGTCCTTAAAAGATGGGGGTGGGGGTTGCTATTACTAATGTTATTCTAAGGAGAAGGTTGCTGACTTTGCTGTAATGTGAAAAATATTTAGAGTAATCATTGCAACAAGTCTCCCAGGATGACTGAGTGGAAATTAGTATGTTTAAGTTTGGTAAGTTGATTTTATTTTATTTTTTTCCTAATTTATTTTATTTTATTTTCAAAAATATGGGGTGCAATTCAGGGTTAGGTATACAAATGGTCATTATGCAGGTACCCTTGTTGATGAGGTGTGGTTGCCACTCTCCTCCCCCCCAGCAGTTTCCCACTACTGTCAATCCCTTCCTTAAAACTAGTTTCTTCACAGTAATTTCATGTGAAGAAAATTGTTGGAGAACTTTTGGAATAGTGGGAAGACATGGCTAACTGGTGAATAGGTTAACTGTGTGGTTTGGGGTCATGAGAAATGACTAAAAGATACTTTGAATTCCCCAGAAATTCTCTCTGCTTCTGTCAGGGAGTGGTTCGGAATAAAAACTTGTTTTATGTAACATAAATTATACTTCTAAGAACGGGTTATTTATTGCATAACTAAAGTGGGAAATATCCCCATACCATTTTCTTTTAGCATACACATAAAGTTACAGATATCACATAATTTTACTCCATTGTTTAATCTACCACTAAATATATTATTGTGTCCTTTAAAGCTATAAAATTCCTTTACTGAATTAAAAATATTTTATTTAGCCAGGCTCGGTGACTCAGCTTGTAATCCCGCGCTTTGGGAGGTTGAGGTGAGTAGATTGCCTGAGCCCACGGGTTCGAGACCCGCCTGGGCAACTTGGCGAGACCTCATCTCTACAATAAATCAAAAAAATTAGCTGGGTGTGGTAGCACGTGCCTGTAGTTTCAGCTACTTGGAAGTCTAAGGTAGAAGGATCACCTAAGGACAGCAGGTCAAGGCTGCGGTGGCTGGGAGTGTGCCACTGCACTTCAGTCTGGGTGACAGAGTGAGTCTCCAACTCAAAAAAAAAATTTATTTTACAAATTTTAATGTTCAGATTTATAGCTTTATGTTTGAATCTGTCATCTTTTAAAAAATTTAAAAGTCATCCCTTGATAAGATATTATTTTAATGATATCAAATATGATACCTGTCTTCACAAAAAAATAATAAAATTAACCAGGTGAGGTAGCATGTGCCTATAGCGCCAGTACTTGGGTGGTTGAGGTGGAAGGATCACTTGAGCCCAGGAGTTTCAGGCTACAGTGAGCTGTGATCATACCACTACATTCTAGCTTGGAAGACAGAGTGAAGACTTTCCTGCAAATACACTTGTATTTTTCTTTTTCTTTTTTTTTTTTTTTGAGTTGGAATCTCACTCTGTTGCCCAGGCTGGAGTGCAGTGGTATGCTCATGGCCACTGCAGCCTCAACCTGCAGGACTCAAGTCATCCTTGGCTAATTTTTTGATTTACTGTAGAGATGAGGTGTCACCAAGTTGTCCAGGCTGGTCTCAAACCAGTAGGCTCAGGCAATCCTTTCACCTCAGCCTCCCAAAGTGCTGGGATTATAGGCATGAGCCACCACGCCTGGCCTTACACCTGTATTTTTCTAAAGTTTGAAATAATGAAAAGTATAGGAATAGACAGATTTGTCATCATTGAAAGCATTGGTTCTGAATAACATGATTAAGAAGGTTAAGACAATTTTATAAGTCAGCAGTATTTGATGACGTGTTTCTTTGTTCTTGTTATGCTAAAGGAAAATAATTGATTGATTTTCAGATGTATAACTAAAATGAAATATGGCCACAAAAGTCAAGCTATTCATGTCCCTGCACATTTGTTTTCTCTAGAGCTAGTTAATCAAAACACTTCTATAAGTTTATATTGGACACTAACTATATAATGAGAATTTTTTCTTTTTTAAATTAGTATCCTAGAAATTGCAGAATGGAGGGGAAAATCACCTCTTGGTACCTTTTTCTCTCTTCTCTACTTCAAAAACTCTTCCCTAGAAAAAATAGCTTTTGTTTATAGCATATAGCTGCCTGTGAGTGCCTGCTATGTGCAAGGTGAAATCAGGCTGAAGGGAACCACAAAGAGAAGGATGCAACCGGAAGTCCCAAATCTTGTGTACCCACTTGGTTGGATGATAGAATGTGATTTCAAGGGTAGAAGCTTCACTTACTATCTTTAGTAAGGATCAGGGTCACATTTTACCTTCTATACATCATTCATTGCAGCCATTATAGTTCTTTGGAGCCATGCAGCACCTTGGAGTAGGGAAGAAAATGACCAAACTGTATATAAGTTGAAATAAATGGTGGTGATATTCATGTTGGTAAGCGTCTTTGTTCTTCATTCTTGATATGTTTGCTAAGATCCTCATAGTTGCATATTCACAGGCTTAATTTCCCTAATGACATCACAAATGGGAAGAAAAAAATGTGTTTCATTTAGCACCTGTATTTTTTTTCTTTCAGGGCGTGTTGGAGAGTTTCCTGGGCACTGCTGTCTCTGGAGCCATCTTTTGCCTTTTCGCTGGTCAACCACTCACTATTTTGAGCAGCACCGGGCCTGTCTTAGTTTTTGAGCGGCTTCTCTTTAATTTCAGCAAGTATGTGTATGCATATTTAATCATACATCAGAAATGTTTGATTGTGGAGCATTCATGGTCTAGATAGAGCATAGAATAGTAATTAGGTGGATCCAAGAATTAGTCAGACTACTGGAATGCGAAGATTTGAACTTTGAGAGGGCCTTAGGGATTAGATAGTTCGACTCTCTTCTTACACTTGGTTCAACTGAGGCCGGTATGTTGACTGTTCTGCTTGCTTCCTTCCCAGTTATTCTCTTTCCCATCATCCTGCTTTGTGCCCTGGAGGGCAGACCCCTATGGACTGTCACACCCAGGCTCCTTTACCCTCTGGTTTCCTGTTTGATTTGGCCAATGGGGAGCACCAGCCAAACATGAGGAGACGAGGGGTCCGAGTATGTCTGCTTCTCCCCATCTTACTGTCTCTGTTTTAACACAGTGGTCTGGCAATGGCTTGTGCCCTAGGACTTTATCCCCTGTCACTGGGTTCCTCTGCCTTGGCTCTAGTCCTAACCTGGTTCTGCTAAACTCTGTTCCTTCCTTGGCCTTTTTAAGCCTGGAGTTAGTAGCGGCTTCCTGCTGTTACTGGTCCCTGAATGCCTCATCGTTCTTTGTTACTTCTTTTTTCCTGCCAGGATCCTGATCCTGACTGCTACACTAGAGAAATTAAATGACTTGTTTAAGGTTGCGTGGTTCATTAATGAAGGAGACTGAGTGTTCTTTCCTTGGTCCACTGCTCCTAACCCCAGTTCCAATGTTCTTAACCAAAGGTAGCTTTCACGACTCAGCCGAATAATGACTGACATTTACTGAGTGCTGATCATGTGCCAAGTGTTATCCTAAACACTTTGCATGTACTAACTCAGTTAATTCCTGTAGAAATCCTATGCAGTAGGGACCACATCCTGTTTTTAGACAAGAAAGTAAGCACAGAATGAACTGCTGCACATAACATCACCAGACGAATTCCTGCTTTCTCATCTAGAGCCCAAGCCTCTAAAGGAATCACTTAGACGTTGCCAATAGGCATGACAATTATGATATCAATATTTTCTTTTAGAAATTGATAGATCACTTTAAGAAGGGGAAAATTGAGTTAGGTGAATTATCCAACTGGCCACATTAACACACAAATAGATTCAAAATCAAATTGAATGTTCTGATCTCTTTCTAATGTACTTGGTACCTCTAAGAGAGAATCTTTACTGGCAGATCTTAATCCTTTGATAGATTTCAAAAATTCATATGACTTGCTAACACTCCATGTTGGACTTCCTATATTTTTATGTCGTTATATATTTTTAGGATTTTAATGATAGAATTGTCAGTACCTATGTAGTACTCATAGACTTTAGGCTTTGAAACTGTGTGTGTTGTCAAAAATGATCACAAGATAGAGAATGGAATGATAATTTAAAGCCAGTTTTTAAAAAACTGGGTTGAGAGTGATAGTGAGAGTCTTCTGAGAATTTACTGTCCCAAATTTTAAATAATGTTGTGAGTTTTCTGTAGGTAATTATTATAGATACTTCTGCCATCATAATTCTCAGAAGAACATTGGAAAAAATTTTATTCATGTCAGTTTATAGAAAGAGTCAAACAGTTTTTATATGTTTAAGCAAACATTGTATGAGACAAGAAAGCCTTTGTGGAAAGATTAAACAAGGATGTGCTATAAACAGGAACAAACATGCACAAACTTTGCAGAAAGATTTATTGGATAAAATGTGATCAGAGCCTTAATCTACAGAAAATGTTTGCATCTTGGTTTGTTTTAAATAATTGTGAGATAGAGATTTTTCATTTCACGAAGCAAGTTCCTTTCTCTCTCTCCCTTTTGTTTCATCATAATTGGTAACATACATATTTTCAAGAGATTCATTTGAAAGCAAATGTAAAGCAATAAGAAACATTTGAGAAAGCATGCTTTAAATCTGTCATTGAGTAGTATGAGTGGGGGACCCAAAAAGGCCCAGAGTTTATTTATAAAAAATTGTGTATTTATTCTTACATGTTTAAACTTCAGTAACCTTCAAAATACTCTCTATTTAATGCAGTGCACCTGTGGAAATGCTTTTTCCACTGCTCAAAACAATTTTTGAACTCATCAATTTTGATGCTTTTTAGTGCTTCTGCCATTTTTTGTTTTACCTCTTCAACATAGGCAAAACATTTCCCTTTGAGGACTATTTTTTTCCAGGGAAACAAACAAAAAAAAAAGTTGCTTGGGTCAAGGTCAAGTGTAGAGAGTTGGTGGGGCATGGGAGTTATGCTGACTTTCGTCAAAAACTGCTGAACAGCCGGGCTCGGTGGCTCAGCCTGTAATCCCATGCCTTTGGGAGGCTGTGGTGAGTGGATTGCCTGAGCCCGCGGGTTTGAGACTCACCTGGGCAGTGAGACTTCATCTCTACAATAAATAAAAAAATCAGCCAGGCGTGGTAGCGCATGCCTGTAATTCCGACTACTGGGAAGGCTGAGGAGGAAGGATCATCGGAGCCCAGCAGGTCGTGGCTGCGGTGGCTGGGAGCGGCCACTGCCCTCCAGTCTGGGCGACAGAGTGAGACTCCAACTCAAAAAAACCAAAACAAACAAACAAAAAAACCACTGCTGAACATTCAGAGCAGTGTGGACAGGTGCACTCATAAATCACCCATCATGAAATGGGCAAACACATTGAAAGAATCTCCAAAAAAAATTTGCTGAAACCAAACTCAGCCTCTTACAACATTGCTAGCCAATACCCTGATGCCGATGGGTTCCTAGAACACTTAACATGGGGAGGAGCCTGTACTACAAGTGGCCCACATTCCAAAAGATAATTCTGGTTTTGGGGGGAGGAGTATTTCCTGTATATGTGGCAAGCATAATTTTATTCACAATGCTTTATCATTTTGTTTATGTTATAGCAGCAGTGATCATATTTTGTCTAGATACAGAGCATTTGTAGAGATTGCTATTTCCCAAAATGTATTTCATCAATTACTAGTTCTGTTAGTTGCTCCATGAAGGAAAACGTCTGTGATCCCAATAAGTGTGGGAAGTACTGTCTGCATCCTTCTCTTGGTAATTCACTTTATACTTGAGTACTAAGGGATAAGAGAGGTCCTTCGGTGAAGAGACTATTTTCCTTTGTCTCACCCAGATTTTCCCCAACGTATTTTTACCACTTTTGGAGAAATAAATAAATTCTTGTTTTGTAGGCTCATTGGACTCAAACAGTAACTCTGCATAATCCCCAGGTTTATCACTGAGATTTTAATATTTGCCCTGTAAACTGTAGAATCATAAAGGAATATAAATGATATGCTGTCACCTCTTAAAACTAGAGATAGAATAAAGAAAATACTTCATCTTCTTTATTTCTGTAGGGCACTTGTAGTTTTATTTCCCAAATTCTGCAATCTCTTTCTGCATATTTTATACATTGTATCCCAATAATAGAGAATTAGATTTCTTTTTTTCCTTAATTGAGTAATCTGAAAGAAGTTTTAGCAATGTATTCTAAGCCATGTAAAAAATTCACAAAGTTGGATTTTAACTTACATTATTATCTTTTGGTCACTCAGTAATTTATTTTCTATATTCTTTGATCAGTTTACTTTTATGTCTTCAAATTATTTTTTCCACTGTTTTACTGGATTTATTGCTTTAGTGTGGGGAATTTGTATTTATTTGTCAGTGCCTGCACATTAATTTCTGTGCCATGTTTCAGATGTGACTTCTATTTGTCTGTATCTTTGGTTTTAGTCTACTCAGAAACTGTAACTCAGAATATCTAAGAACACTGAGTGGTACCATAAGGACATAAACCCATTTTCTCCTTCTAATTCACTATAATTTCTTTTGGTCTTTAGTAATATTTTTGGTTGCTTTTTATAACTTTATTGCTGTTAAACTTGGCACCAAGAGGACTTATTGAATATAATAATACCATTTTATTGTACTTGTTACTGACGATCAACTTGTTTAAAAGTTTCTCTTCTCCTATCCCCTTTTCTTCTTGTGGCTCTAAACAGATCACTTTCATAATGAAGTGATATTGGTTTTCTTTTTTTTTTTTTTGAGTTGGAGTCTCACTCTGTCACCCAGACTGGAGTGCAGTGGCTGCTCCCGGTCACCGCAGCCTCCACTTGCTGGGCTCCGGCGATCCTTCCACCTCAGCCTTCCAGGTAGCTGGAACTATAGGCATGCGCTACCACGCCCGGCTAATTATTTATTTATTTATTGTAGAGATGAAGTCTCACCAAGTTGCCCAGGCGGGTCTCGAACCCGCGGGCTCAGGCAATCCTCTCACCTCAGCCTCCCAAAGGCGTGGGATTGCAGGCTGAGCCATCGAGCCCGACTTGATATTGGTTTTCATTGACTTTATTTGAATTACTCCAGGAGTACTTAAGTCTTTTAGGACAGCTAGTTTGGCATATTTTTTAGGTTCTTAGATTTATCTTTTGATCAGTCAGTATACATGCATATTTTTATACATGTATCTTTTCTTTTGTACCCAAAATGGATGGTGTTCCTAACCATTAGCTGGTTAATGGATTTGTTTCTTATATTATGCTGTAAATATCAATTTTATAAACAACTATTAGCATTCTTAACAAATCAAGACTGCTCTAACTTTCATCTTGCTAGGGAAGTCAAACTAAGTAATCGTTTAAACTTTTATTTTAAGAAAAATATGTGTTGGTTCAGAAGTAATTATACTATGATTTTAGCTCTTATTATGACACTGACTCATTATATGATCATTTAAATAATCTCAAATTTCTAGAGCTCAGTCTTTTTCTGTAGTGTACTTACCTCACAAAGTCATGCATATGGTTTAACTTTGGGTTTCCTGACATAAAGGGGAGTGAAAGGGAATGTAAAAACTGTCTTCAGAAAGGTCCCAGAAAATCTATAGAAGATAACTGACTACCCTAATGTTAGTACTTTCCTGCTTTAATAATATAGTCCAGTTCGTGTGATTTTGTGACAAGAGGGAAATAAAGAATAATGCCTTTAATGCCTACCCTATCTTGAGCTAAATACAAATCACATAGGGAATCATGGAGTAATTTTTTAAAGGACCATCCAAGAATCAAGAGATTTGATTTTCAGTTCAGCTCTACCATTGAAACCCTGATGTTAGATAAATGACTTAACTTCCACTGGTGTCATCATCTATAAAATGAGGCATATGTGACAAATTGGTATCTGTATTAACCTGTGTTCTCCATAGAAACAGAGCCAGTAAGATGTCTGTGTGTGTGTGTGTGTGCGTGTGTATGTGCATATATATGTGAGGACACACACACACATATGTAAATGAATTTATTATAAATAATTGGCTCACACAATTATGGGGGCTGGAAAGTCCAAATCTGAAGGGCAGGTTGGCAGGCTGAAGACCTAGGAGAACCAGTATCCAGTTTGAGTCCGAAGGCTGTCTGCTACAGAACCAGGAAGAGTTGATATTGCAGAAGAAGTTCATAGGCATTGGGAGACAAGTCTTTTGGGTTATTTAGGTCTGCAACTGATCAGATGAGGCCCACACACATCATGGAGAACAATCTGCTTTACTGAAAGCTCACCAACTTAAATGTTACTCTCTCTACTATACCCATAATAATGTTTGACAAAATATCTGGACACCCCATAACCCAGTCAAATTGCCACAAAATTAACCATCATAGTACTTAAGGAACTTCTGATTCTAATATTCTGTAACTTTTAACTATCACAAGAACAGTCACATCTTGGTTTCATTTGATAGTTCATATGTCAATGACAGACTGTCTTAGTTAATAAGTCTTAAGCTACAGGCATGGATTCATTCATTTGGAAAGTCTTTACTGGGCATGTTCTATGTGCCAGGCACTGTGCTAGGTAGAGAATTTGCATTTAATTCTAAGGACAGCAGGAAGCTGTTGAAAGATTTTAAACTTGGGTATCTGATTTACATTTTAAAAGGCCATATTGGCTGTGGTGTGGAAAATGACTGAGCAGGGCAAACGTAGATATCAGTGAGTAGCTTCCTGTCAGGAAAAGACTTACTGGTGGTCCAGATTGGATTGATGGTTGCAGAGGTGGAGAGATGATGCCTTTGGGAAAGTATTAAAGTATGTCACTAGCAGTTATTAGAAACCCGTTGCCTGAAAGCAAGCCTGCAACACTTCAGCATTGTATGGTCCTTGATTTATTTCTTTTTCTCATGGAAGAAATGCTACTATCTGCGTTTTCATCACAAAAAAGTTATGAGTTAAAAATCATCGTAAAGCACTCTCCACATACTTTTAAAAGAACTGATAAGAAATAGTAACATGTTAACACTTGACCCATCTTTTCAAAGTTGGGACTATTGAACCAATTCAGTTGTGAGAAATGGGAAGGACCTCAAAAGACAGTGCCCTCCTTAGATGGAGGCGGTGGATTCTAAGTCTGCTGAGGTAAACACAGACAAAAAAGAAAACAGTGCTTACAAGATGCTTCATGCCCAGCTTCAGCAGAAGGATATAAGATCTGTGGGCGAGCTTCATGAGAAGTTGTAGAGTCTGATGCTAGTGTGGCAAGACAACATTTCTTGATCTGATGACAGCCTGCATTTCTTTTTTATTTTTATTAATTTTTATTATTTTTTATTTTAAAGTTGGGTACAATTCAGGGTTAGATATACAAATGTTCATTATGCAGGTACTCTTGATGAGGTGTGCCCCTCCCTCCCCTGGCATATGTGTTGGTTCAGAAGTAATTAAAAAATGTGCATTGGTTCAGAAGTAATTAAGCTATGTTTTTTAGCTCTTATTATGACACTGACTCATTATATGATAGTTTAAATAATCTCAGATTTCTAGAGCTCAGTCTTTTTCTGTAGTGTATTTACCTCACAAAGTCATGCATATGTTTTAACATTGGGTTTCCTGACATAAAGGGGAGTGGAAGGGAATGTAAAAACTGTCTTCAGAAAGGTCCCAGAAAACCTATAGAAGATAACTGACTGCCCTAATGTTAGTATTCTCCTGCTTTAGTAATATATTCCAATTCATGTGATTTTCCTCAACTGCCAATCCCACCACTCCCTCCCCTAGCAGTTTCCCACTACTGCCAATTTCTTTCTTATATTATTATGATAATTATTCAAGGTCTGCTTGAGTGAGAACATATGGTACTCTGTTCTTTGTTTCTGTGATAGATCACTGAGTATGATAGACTCTAAATCCATCCAAGTTGCTGCGGAGTTCATGGGGCTGTTTGTTTTTTTCTTTTTGACTCATTTGAGTTCCTTATAGATACTAGATGTTAGGCCTTTGTCAGATATACAGTTGGCAAATATTTCTTCCCATTCTGTGGGATGTCTCCCTGCTCTCTTGATGGTTTCTTTTGCTTTGCAGAAGCTCATCAGTTTGATGAGGTCCCACTTGTCTATCTTATCTCTTATGGTATGGGCACGTAGGGTTTTGGTCAGGAATTGGTTGTCAGTTCCAATTTCCATAAGGGTGCCTCCTGCATTTACTAGGATTCTTATAGTTTGAGGTTTTACATTTAGGTCTTTGATCCATTTAGGGTTAATTTTTGTGTATGGTGGTAGGTAGGGGTCCTGTTTCAATCTTCTGCATGTGATCAGCCAGTTTTCCCAGCGCCATTTACTGAATAGGTTCTCCTTTCCCCAGTGGTTGTTGTTGGAGGCTTTGTCAAAGATGAGTTGGTTGAGAAATAGATGCTTTGCTTCCAGAGTCTCTATCCTGTTCTATTGGTCTATATGCCTGTTCTTGTACCAATACCAGGCTGTTTTGATCACTGCAGCCTTATAATAATGAAAGTGTGATACCTCCTGTTTTGTTTCTTTTGCTACGGATTGTTTTGGTTATTCGTGGTCATTTATGTTTTCATATGAATTTCTGTATTGTCATTTCCAGATCTGAGAAGAATGATGTCGGTAACTTAACGGGTATTAACAGCCTGCATTTCTAAAGCCATCTCCTCACATTAGTGGCACCCTGTCCACAGTGAGCATTACACACCATCCTGTGCCACTTGCTTTCTTGACTACTCTTGTCCTGACTCTCTTGGTCTCTCTGGAAAGCTTCTACTTATTCTTGAACACCTTGAGAATTTTTTGCAATTTCATCTCTTCTACCCCCATCAGAATAAGTTACTCTTTATTCTATAACACTATCACTTAGTATTTTACAGCATGATTATATTATTTAATTTCTTCCCTCAACATACTGGAATAACTTGGGGACAAAGAGACTTGATGTCTTCATTGACTAAGGCTCACAAACATTTACTTAATGTATACTAGGTATCAGTGTTAAGTTTTCAGATTCTCTATAAACTCTGTGAAGGCAGGGACAATATTTTTTGAATGAAAAAAATAGCTAGTTATTCACATCCAGATGGTGTGATTACTTTCTATGTGCTTTTCTCATATTTCTGTTATTATTTCTTGAATTATGGCACTAGGCCAAATCCTTAAACTTAGTACTTCCTGGATGAAAATTGTGTTTTTATTTTTGGTATTTTTAGCAATAATTCTATAGACATTTGGTAGTTTTAATATGATCCTTCATGTTCCATGGAGGCAGAATCCATAAACACCTTTCTTTCTTCTTTGCAGGGACAATGATTTTGACTACCTGGAATTTCGCCTTTGGATTGGCCTGTGGTCAGCCTTCATGTGTCTCATCTTGGTAGCCACCGATGCCAGTTTCTTGGTTCAGTACTTCACTCGTTTCACAGAAGAGGGTTTCTCTTCTCTGATTAGCTTCATTTTTATCTACGATGCTTTCAAGAAGATGATCAAGCTAGCAGATTACTACCCCATCAACTCCAACTTCAAAGTGGGCTACAATACTCACTTTTCCTGTGCCTGTGTGCCACCTGACCCAGGTGAGGGCATCGTGCTTAGGGTTTGCGTTTGCCCTGTTGATAGAATAAGGTGTAGGCACCGTGCTTGCAAATTTTCAGTAGGCTATCATGGTCCTCAGAAATGTGTCTTATTTTCTCCGAGAGACTATGCAACCAATTGAAGTCTTAGTGTGAGAGATATTTCAGCTGTGTGATTCAATCAGGAAGTAAAGCCAAGACTTCTGTAATGTGAATATAACCAGCTCGATATTTTGAAATTAACTAAAACTGCAGTATTTGCAAGGAATTAATGTATACATTATTCTTGATTTTATGTTATAAGTGGAGAAACCCGGGCACATATATTAACAGATACAAAGATGAGGCAGACCTAGTCTTCTGCTGCATCCTTATTGCCATAGGAATCTCCTCCCTCAAGCAAACTCTTAATAAATTAAGTTTAAAGAAGAAACAAAGAAGGCACTAATTCGCGTCATATAATTTGAAGCATGAAATTAAAAAAAAGAAGTTCAGATTGAAATTGCCTGGGGATAAAGGAGAGTCTTATAGCTCATCTCTAGCAGACAAAGAAGAAAATAAAAGAAAAGAAGAAACAAGAGAAGGAATGGTATGTTTTAGGAGTAGATTTGTGTTCTAGAGTCAGGAAAGACATAGAAATAAAAGTAACTTATGGGTAAAGGCGCAAATTCTATATATCTTAACACTTTAACATCTATCTTGCCAAACACAGATCAGCATTAGGACTTTTTCACAGAGTGTTCAACTTGGTCTTTGCAATGTTTTCTTGGAGTAATTTATCACCATTTTATAATATGAAAGGCATTTGAAAGAACAATTTACCTCGAGGAAAGTTATTTTAGATCTGCTCTGGTAGAAAAAGGAATAGACGTTTGTGTTAGACAATTAAATGGTAATAGTATTGGTGATCCCAAGTTGTGCTATTAGCTACAGGTCGATGTTCCTTAATGTAAAAAACTGATGCACAATCCATGCTTTTATTTATTTATTTTTTTGAGTTAGAGCCTCACTCTGTCTCCCAGGCTGGAGTACAGTGGCACGCTCACGGCCACCACAGCCTCAATCAGCTGGGCTCAGGCAAGTCTTCTTCCTCAACCTTCCAAGTAGCTGGAACTATAAGCACATGCCTGGATAATTTTTTGATTGATTGTAGAGACGAGGTCTCACCCGGTTGTCCAGGCTGGTCTTGAACCCATGGCCTCGGTAATCCTCTTATCTTGGCCTCCCAAAGTACTGGGATTACAGGCTTGAGCCACCATGCCCAGCCAATCCATGCTTTTTAACTGAGGCTTTTTAGCACCAAAAACGTAGCAGTATTCTGGGGGCCAGGGCACAACTGTGGGACACATCCATGTGATAGCCACTTTTACTTATGATTCAGAGGAAAGACCTCTTCATGTTTATAGTAGAACACACATGGTTGTGTCATAGACTAGAATGCAAAATACCTATGAATTTAAAAACTAAGCAAGATACTACAAAGAATTTGTGTGCTTGTGGCAGGCTGTGTCAGATTAATTTTATATATTTTGGTGGTACACCTCATTCTTCTCTGCCACAGTTGTGAAATCTTAGAAGACCTATATGTATCTTGAGTGGTGAGAGAAAAGGGAACACTACCTTTCCCAAGATGGATCAAGCAGTGGCACTGATGAAAAAGATAGAGCATTGTTAGGCTTTACACTCATGGATTATTTTGGCCTTATTTAAGATAAATTAACATAGATTAAAATAAAACTCATTCTTAAAAGCAATGCGCAAAGAGAAACAATGCAGAAATTCAAAGATGACATACAATTATAAAATCCTAGTAGTAGTTGCTGGACTTGGTGGCTCAGCCTGTAATCCCGCACTTTGGGAGGCTGAGGTGAGTGGATTGCCTGAGCCCGCGGGTTTGAGACCCGTCTGGGCAACTTGGCGAGACCTCATCACTACAATAAATAAAAAAAATCAGCCAGGCGTGGTAGTGCACGCCTGTAGTTCCAGCTACTTGGAAGGCTGAGGCGGAGGGATCGCTGGAGCCCAGCAGGTCAAGGCTGCAGTGGCCAGGAGCGGCCACTGCACTCCAGTCTGGGCGACAGAGTGAGACTCTAACTCAAAAAAAAAAAAAAAAAGTCCTAGTAGTATCCGGCTGTATACTGATTCGAATTATTTCATAATTTTAAAAATGCTTGGAAACAAGTATGCACTCAGTATATGATATACATGTTATCATTTTAATCAAATATACTGCCCAGAGAAACACAGATGTTACTGTTTCACAACTATATGGAGCTCTTCCTAGGAGAGAAGGAGGCTGACATCTCCTATTACCATGCAGTCTAGACTTTCAGGGAAGACCAGGCATTCAAAACTGACATATTTAATTGTAGGATTTTAAACTTTCTTTTTCGTTTATTCATATCTTTATGTGTGTAAGCTGGCCTCTTAGGTAAGTTTAAGTAATCATACAGCAAGATTTTCTTTTTCTTTTAATTTTTATTTTAAAGATGTGGGATACAATTCAGGATTAGGTATAAAAATGTTCATTATGCAGGTGCCCTTGTTGATGAGGTGTGCCCCTCCCTCCCCTGATAGTTTCCCTCAACTGCCAATCCTACCCCCCCCCCCCCCCCGCACCCGGCCCCCACAGATTTTCAAAACAAAAAATAATCCGCTGAGCTATTCTGAGGTGTTGAGGGCTTTGTCAGCACAGCTGTTACATGGAAAAAAGATAAACCTAGTGCTGGTCCCATACCCACCTGAGGCTAATGGAAACTTGTGTTCATTGTTTTATTAATTGGATGCTGACAGAGAAAGTAATATGAAACCAAAGAAGACATAGCTGAATGTGTTCAAACTGTAAAATGTACGTAAACTCTTCCAAGAAGGATCTTTGTTTTGATGAAAAAGTGACATTAAGGGTTGAACCAATTGTATACTCACACGGCAAGTGCAGACACAGGTGGTTATAGCTTTTCCTTGGTCCTGAATTCCCAGGCAGTGTAGAAATTCAGTCCTGAACAACTAAGGAGTTGTCAAGAAGGACCCTAACAATTCCTTTTACATCTAGATGGTACCAGGAAAGCAGAGCAGCAGGGCTTTGGAAGTCAGAAAACCTTGCTTCAAGTCCCAAATTGTCTGATGCCAAATGTGTGACTTTTAGCAAGTTCCTTTTCTCAAGGTAGCTCAGCCTCACCTTCCTCATCTGTAAAATAAAGTTAATGATAGTGCCTACCTTATATAATTGTTCTGAAGGAAATAAGTTATTACAGATAAAATATTTAGTACAGTTTCTAATATGTAATATGTAATCAACTGTTAGCTGCCATTGCTATTGATGTTATTATTGATTAAAATTTAGGGTTAGTATTTAAGTGCAAGTGACAGAGCAAACAAAACTGTCTTCATCACCCTTCCTTCTCAGCATACATTCTTGGGCAGATGGCCCGTTCTGCAACAAGATTATTGGTTGCACTTCTTATTTTTGAAGCTGTTCAGATGAGTGGCACTCGTGAAAGATGTACACATGAACATTATTATAAGGATTATTTAAACCTGTGGGGATGAAATCTGTGGTTTAGAAAAAGGCAAACGGACACTTGCATTTCACAAAACATCATCATATTAATAGTTGTATATTTCCCCCATAACCTTAGTACTGTTGACAAAGTTAATACCTCTTCTTAACTAACGGTTTTGGTAGCATACGGCAGAGATCCACTGTAAATTTAGTACTTTATAGCAAACTGCAGTGATAGTGAGAGAATAATCCAGTTGCGTGTACAGCTTGAGTAAGTATTCTAAAAACAACAAAAGACTGGCCTTTCATCACAACATGCACTCTTAGTAAAAGAATTCAATCAATGAGTCCATAATATTTAAACTGGCTGATGACTTGTTTTTCAACCCTGGGACCGTATGTTACAGTGAACCAGCAACTGCACAGATAGAGTCACAATCCTGCAAACTGAGAAATGATTTTACAGGGAATAGAAATAGGGGTCACTAACCACCAAGAAACATTTCTTCCTGCCACGGTATATTGTGCCTCTTTGCAAGTGTGCTTTGTGAAGGCAACTCTTCCTCTTCTCTTTCTGTTCTTTCTTGTTTTCACTTGCTTCCAGAAAGCCTCACCACGTTCTGATTTTTCTTCTTCTAAATGCACCCTTTACGCCCTTTCTTTTACTTCCAACTATTGATTTGGAACCCAAGTCATAGACATAGGCTTACCAAAAAACGAAGGAAGGTCAGTTGTGAGTGCTAGTAGGAAAATTAGCCAGGAAACTACACACACACGAGTGGGTAGATGACTTACATGGGTAATTTTTGTGCTAAGATTTCCTTTTTTTAGAAATAGGATAGCTGTTTTGGAGAGGAAATCGACCCACCGCACCTTGATAATTACATAGCAGCCGCGCGTAAGAAAGAAGATAATTTAATTCAAAAGCCAAAAGTAAAAACAGAAAAATAACCATCTGAAGGAAAATATACAACATCTCATTTCATCACCAACATACCAATTTAGGAATTGTTAATGTGAGAAAGTATAAACAATATGTGCTTTGAAGTAAAGGAAACCAAATCTGAAATTCAGCTCTGGCGCTAACTAGCAGTGTGACCTGGAGCTAGGTTAATTACATAATGTTTGTTTCATAATCTGTGAACTGGGTTGTACTTACTTTTAGAGGTTACTATAAAGATTAAATGAGATTATATGTAAAATTGTTTGGGACTGAATGGACACTGAGTATAAATTTGTTCTTTTTCACTTTTTTCATTGTCCTATGAAAGATGCCCCAGTCAGTTTAATGTTTTAGTTGTATTCTTTAAAGAGGTTCGAACATTTAATTTAATCAGAAAATTTCCTAAGGAAAAATACTAACTAGGTTTCTACTGCAAGCCTACCCCCTACCCCAAAAGTAACAACTGGTGTGCTCTTATGGATAAATATGAAACACTGAAGCTATATTTAAATGAAAAAAAAGTTAAGGGGTTCATTGTATCATCGTTAAAGTACTTAA